AAAGTTTTGCTGATGACTTTGACTGGCATAGGTTCAGAACTTTCCCTCTCTACAGAAAGGATGTGGGATTCATCTCTCTGATGTAAAGGATATAAAATCCTTCAGGTTGTTTAACCAGATAAGGACTGCTTCATTTAAAACAAGAGGCATAAAAACTATTTTGAGATCCAAACCCCCCCCCCAACAAAAAACAAACCAAGAATAATTAAAGCTTATGATTTTTAAGCCTAAAATACTACACCATGACTAACAAGAAATACATTTTACCTGGTGTTGTCATGATGAGGGTTAGAGGAAGTGGTAGCAGATGACCCACCACGTAACACTGGCCTAGAACAGGTTTTTGTAGGTAGGAGGCACAAGACAGAAACAGAAAACAACATAAAAACAGAGAGAAGAGGGTGAAAAACACAAGGACAAAGAAATGCCAAAATATTTCCAGTTATATTCTATAGTATTTTAATACAATATAGTATCTAGTTAATAAGAGATTTTATAGTGCATTTTCAGAATATTCATTTTGTAATCATGTATTTAATATCACACTAAGAATCATCAAATCCAATATATTTTTATTGGTATAGAATGGTTATGAGGAGAAACACTTGAGAGAAAAGTTTGTGAATAAGAACTATGATAGCAGCTTTAAATTATAAATCATGGGAAACTTAAGAACAGAAAATAGCATCACTATAGACAAAAACAAACAAACATGTTCACACAGTTCACAGGCCTGTCTTTAGCCATCTTATTTGGACTCAGTTCCTCTTCTCCCACTCACTTAGCCCTCTATACTCTCACACCCCCAAGAGCTCCATTTCAGCAGAAAATAAAGATCCAGGACTTGACACATTGCCACTACTGTATCCACCAGGCTTGTGGATGGCAGTAAGACTAATTCCAGAAGGCCTACTGACTTAAATGGGAATGGTGAGTGTTCTCCACTATTGAAAATGAGGCTCAAAGTATCATTACTGCCTGCTGCTGTACATAGGCTGTACACAGTTAACTAGGCTCTTTTCCACCTTTCCTTTCACTTATGCTAATTATAGATATTGGGACCTCACAACTACCTTAAGTATAGCCTGAACTCTCTAAGAGTACTAAAGATACCAGGTATGAAGTTATTTAGTGTAGAGGTGTATAGACAAAGGGACTACAGGACTGTAGGAATAAACTCTGATGCAAGAGTGGATGTGAGCATTACTGTGCAAAAGCATCCCAATTTATTTTAAGAGGATCAAGAGGTTTATTTCAAGAGGATTAAGACTGAATGGTACATTTAGAGTTATGCCCTGAAACTTGCATAGTGCTTACTTGCTGTAGGGCTGGCTCACATCAGCACTACTAATGTTCCACTTGCATAAGCACTAAACTTACCCATACTGCAGACCAACTGCAAATGAAGAAAGTTATTTTACTAACCTCCCTCCTCTCCTCACACCAAACCAGAACACCACCAAACAGGAGAATGGTTTTTCCCCAAGCAAGCGAGGTCCATTGTATTTAATAAAGTGACATCATTCCCATGCAGGAGGTAGTGTTTTTAAT